TTTTTTACCCCAATGCCTCCACTTGTTTTCATGTCTTCTGATGAAACAGTAAAATAAAACCACAATGATGACACATTACTGATGATTAAGTTGTATTAAGCAAAAATAACTGCACATGAAACAATAGTTATATATTATATTATGAAGTTAGTCTATTTGTTTCTTGAGAACTAATAAGAAATTGAGGGTAATTAAGGCAGGCAAACATTAGTTTATTTTTCCATTTATTGGGCTGTATAAATTATCTGTTACTGTGTAATATATTATCCCAAATTTAATGGTGTTAATCAGAAGTATGTATTATCTCACATAGTGTGTGTGGGTCAGGAATTCAGAGGAGGCTTAGCTGGATGGTTCTGGATTTCATGAGGTCCCAGTCAAAAGATCAACTGAGGTTTTAGTTATCTGAAGATTTGAGTGGGGGATGGAGGAGCTGCTTCCAAGATGGTTCAATCACATGGCTGGCTAGTTGTTAAGCAGAAGAAGCCTCGGTTCCTTGACAGGTGGACACATCAATAAGGCTGCCCGAGTGTCCTCACAGCATAGCAACTGGCTTCTTCCAGAACAAGTGGTCAAAGAGAGATCAAGGCAGAAGCTACAATACAATTTATGACCTAGCCTTGGAAGTCACACTCTGGTCATTTCTATAGAATTTTATTGGTTATACCAGGCCTGGGACTGGTACTCACTCACAAGACTGTATAAGTGCATGCCCTGCATGTGAATATGTCCTTAAATTTTACACCCTTGCTGCCTTGTTTATCTTAATCTAGTCCTGACCAGCTGTATACATTTGCTGTACTTAGTGTTAGAGGGGACAATATAAAAGGCAAGAATCATGGGAACAACTTGGAGGCTGGCCACCACAAGAGTTAAGCACTTAACCAAGATTCTGATCAATGAGAAGGGACTTCCACTGGCTCATCAGTTCTCAACTTTGGTTGAGCACGTGAATCATCTGGGAGCGATGATTTAACTGATCAGGAAAGACAGCCATGATATCAAAAAGGTCTCCAAATTATTCACATGTGCAGTCAGGGATAAGTACATTGAAAATGAAGTAACGGTCCCTTTTGAGACTGAATTCCACACAGAATTTGCTATTGTATCTATCAGCAACCTCTGTTCTCCCCTCATGGAGCAGAGTGTGGAGCAAGGTTTAGAAGGACAAGGGGCATCAGTAATTTATTCACTCACAAACTGTTCCTGAAAACAGAGCAGGTCAGGATGACTAGGTTTCTTTCCCCACCACCTGTATGTTCTGCTTGAACTGTTTTATAAAAGATTGGCAGGCACAGGGTTAACTCATCAATGCTGGTCTGATTTGAGGTTCTTTATTTGTTTCAAGACATATCAAAACAGGCACATTGGATGAACAGAGAGGTCCCCAGATGAAAAAGAGAATAATGGGAATTAAATGAGTTATATTAGGGTTAGGCTGTCTGTTTAGTTATATACCAGTTTGCCAGTGTTACACACACACACACACACACACACACACACACACACACACACACACACACACGTAAAGCCAAGAATGAGATCACGCTTAGCTAATATAATTTTAGAAGCCAGTTCAGGTTTGTAGCTACTAGGCTACATGGTTGTTGAGTAGTTATCTCTTTGAAACTTCCCTATCCCATGGGGCAGGAGCCTGGGCTGAATGTACTGGGGAGAAAGGTGAAGGAGTATTGGAATGGGGTTCTTATGCAGGATATCCTGTTTTTCTCCACTGAAAATAAATAACAGAATTTCCAACTCCTGCTAGAACTTTCACATTTTCTTCTTGTAATTTTCCTAGAAAATGCAAAAAACCTCAGAGATTATCATGATTTTGGCAAACAGTTTAGAATGTTGGCAGATGCCCAAAGAGAAAAAAGCTCTGTTACAGACATATGCTCGAAACCATTGTTGTCACCTCAATCAGATAATTAAAATGAAAAATAAAACACTGCAAGCATTTTTTATGGCAGCAGCCTAATTTGCACTTCTTACATAAGCAAGGACATTCCTGCAGATTGCACTGGGTGTCAGCATAACATATCCTCTCACTCTTCTGTAAAAGCATACTCAGATGAAAGGGGACAAGTTGCTGGGAAAACAGGTCATTCTCTTCAGACATCCATTTCAGCCACAGAAGAGGCTTGGCCAGAGGGCGAATATTAATAAACAAAATATCTACCTGCTCAATAGGATTCTAGCAGAGTTTCATTGTTTGGCAAAGTCTCAAAGGGTTAGAGTGCTTCCATCTCGTGACAGTGTAGATCACTTCCAATGGACTCTTGGATGCAAGTGTACTTGATGGGAGGTGGAGGCGGCTTGAAAGGTGGGGGTCTTTCCATGCTAGGAACAAAACATTGCTCTTTTAATGCTAAGAATGTAAGGGGGTGATTGAAGTAGGAAACAGAAAGAGAAAGACATACTCCACTAGCTCTCTCAGAATTTTCTTGTCATAACTTTCTGCTTGTTAGTTTTGTCATGATAATATCATTAAGTAATATTTATATGGTAATTTTATAATTTGCAAAGTGTTTTCATTATAACCTTGTATCTAGAAATTGAATATTACTGTCACCATTCCATATATAAAAATTAGGCACAAAGGTTTTAATCATCTTGTTCGAAAGAACCAGACCAGCAATTCAAGTCTTTTAACCAAAACCCATACTCTCCATGGCAACTGCTTCCTAATAGAAGTGCTTCTCTTATGTGGGTTAAAAAGATTTCTCCAGAGACAAAATTTTAAAATTCTGTGTGCTGTGGGGATCCGGTTTAAATGGGAAGTAAAGCTCTTCTGAATCCCTGAGTTGGTTGGTACTGGATAGATAATGCCAGAATCCCTTCTCTTTAAATAAGTGAACATTCTGAATGTCATCTTTGTATAAAGTGCTGTTCTCTGTTAGCACAACTCATCTCTTGTCTGAAATGCATCAAGCATACAAGTGAGTGTGAGATTTAGCTATACAAATGCCCCAGCACTATTGATAATAGAAAACAGAAATATACCTGTGAGCAGATTTATGTCCATGACCCAAATACCTACAGCCCTTGTCTGTCAATCCATAGTACCTTAATTTCTCTCTCTCTCTCTCTCTCTCTCTCTCTCTCTCTCTCTCTCTCTCTCTCTCTCTCTCCCTCTCTCCCTCTCCCATCAAAATATTGTTTCTCATTTCTATATAGCACAGACATTTGACTATAGCACAACAACAAAAATCATTTCAGATTTTCAGAGTCCCATAACTTTCTCATTTTATTATATAAATTCCTAATGTCTATTACCTGGTTTTCTGATGCTTTAATGGACACAGTATTTATCAAAAGGTAGATAAAGTATTAAGAAATTTGCACTTCTGTTTTTTTCAGGTAAATTCTGAATTTCTCAGGATCACATGGTGACCAAAGTGTAGTATTTAGATAAGAATCCATAAATTCTGACTACTGGTTTAGTGTTTTATTCACCATGAGACACTTACTGCAGATGGTGATAGAGTCTTCAAGGATACTCTCAGAAAAGTAGAAGAAGGTATTGCATGATGGTCAATGTTATCTTAGAGAGTAGTCGGAAGATATGTGGAAGATCAGCCTTATGTATTATGAGGGTCTCCTCTAATTGTGGCCTAATCTGGACTGACTCAAAATAGCCCAGTCAGAAAAGCAGAGCGTAACCTTACGTGCCATTTCAGATTGTGGATTGGAAGGAGGAGAGTTCCGGAAAATATTTCAATAAGGCAAAAAAAATGGGGGGTAACCAACTGCTTACTTTCTTTTCCCCTTGGGGAAAAAGGTAAAGGGCAGTAAAAGCTCATTCTGCTGAAAAGCAGCTGGAAATTTCTTAAAATTACCTTTCTCACTCAATTTCACACTTGAGCATCTCAGTATGACTAGGCTCAGGCAGGTCAGAGATGCATGAAAATGAAAAAATAATAAAGATTAAAAGAAAAATCATTTTCAATTTTGAGGTAAGGTGAGGCGCGGTTTTTATTTAATGCCCACTGACTGTTCCACCTGCTGAGTGTAGTGTTACAGCCTGAACAAGGCAGAAGGGCTACCAAATCAGAAGTTGTGTATCTAAACCCAACTGTGTGGAGCTGGGGAAGCTATATTACCTCTCTGAGCCTTATTTCCTCTGTTAAATATGAACGGGGCTCAATATAGGAATGATATCTATAGTGCTGAGTGAATGATGCTTATTGAAAAAGTATCTGTTCCTTCATATCTTGGCATTATACTCACATTTCTTGTTGGTATTGACACCATTTTCTCACTCCAAGACCAAATGATACCAGGCATAAAAAGAGCAAAGCTGCTACCAATACTGGCCAGGATGTTCCATCTTTGGGCTTCTTAGCCACAATCACTGAAAAGGGCATCAAGAGAGAGGAATTTTAAAGCTAAACTTCTGGCCATTGGAAACCAGAATTAATTGAACTACTTCTCCCACCTGACAGATATTTTATTTAAAGGCCAAAGGGTGCTCCTTGACCACAGTCACACTGTGGGATCATGTCTATGCCTTGTTCTACTTTCTGGTTTGGCATTTATTCAATTGTATTTTTACATGAATGTCTTTCTTGGTCACGTATTCCACAACTAATCTTTTCCCTCATTTTCCCAAGGCCCTGGTCAATTCCTGACACGTGGTACCTGATGAAATGTTATTTGTAGGAATGAATAAATTAATATAATCTGTAAATTAACTTTATCTGTGAAACAGTGGTCTACCTTTGGGTTTTCTTGTTCTTGAAGGAGTCACTAAATGCTTTGTGGAAGCACATGTGATAGGACGAGGAAAAAAGAGTAAAAAGCAGTGTGACCTTCCAAAGTCCTGAAGAGCTAAAGCTGGGAAGCCCTGGACAATACCTGTGGAGCTGTAGTGCTGAAAAACCACGTTCCAAGACTTCTCATTTGAATGTCACTCAAGGAATCATAACCAGGCTAGAGATTTTCTTATCCGTTTCTATCACTTCCCCTCCTTTTTTTACTCTCCATATCCATTTCAGGAATAGAAAGGGGAGAAGGGACAAAATGGATAAAACTAAAACCAGTTGGTTTTGCCATTTCTGTGGGCTGAAAAGGGAAGAAGCTGAAAGTAACAGACTGGCTAAAGTTAAATTGGTGAGTAACCAATGGGCTGATTTTTCTTATCCTTGCTGACCATCCCCATACTCAACTCATTCATTAACATTTGAATATTAAGTTAAACTGCAGGAATCAAAGACTTTAAAATATTATGAATTCTAGATTAGCAGCAAAATAAATATCCTACTCTGGATGGCTTTACTTTTTAGTAAATGAGGTTGCCTGGTTCTACCTGGCAGTTAATAGAAGTATTTCCTTTTCAAAAAGTATTTCATGATCATGTTAACAATTCAAACAGCACAGAACTATAAAACTGCAATGAAAAGGAAGTGCCCTTACTACTTTAGGTACCAGTTACCCACACTAGAGGCAGTAACTTTCAATAGTTAATTACATATCCTACCAGAAACTTTCTATGCATACATAAACACATATATGTATCATAAATATACATCCCCTTTATTACAAATGCAGCCATACTGTACATATTGTTCTGCCTGTCCCCTGGCTTTTTTTCTCTTAAAAAATGTTCTTGGCATACTTTCCAATGAAGTGTATAGAGACTTACTTCATTCGATTAAACTCCTGGCTAGTTCCCCAAATGTAGGCATCTACCATAGTTTATTTAATTGGTCTCTTAACGTCAGGTGGTTGAATTGTGTCCAGGCTTTTATTATCTCTAACAACACTCCAGTGGAATCCTTATACATTACAGATAGATCTTTAGCTCTTTAGGTTACATAGATCATTTGGGCAAAAAGTGCATTTTTATATCAGAATTATCTGGATTGATTTTCTTTTATCATTTCAACTAGATTATACACTGCTCATAGGTGGAGACTAGGTTTTTATTTTCTCTTATTGCCTAGATTTATTATACTGCTTTCCATACAGCAAGTCTCAAAAAATAAAGATACAGTCTAAAAAACTGGATTTAAAATATTAGGTACCAAGTCTTTTCTATGTCTTACATAGTTTGGACTGCAGCCACATTATGTCAAGCTAACCATGTGTTGGTTATCAGTGTGGAAGACTTTTTCTCTCACAACACACATCCAGGATTCGAGGTCTTCCTGAGGGTCACCCTACCTCAGCCCTGTCAAAACAGATACTGCGGATACCCTGGAAGCTCATGTAGTCTTGCCACACATAACCATGTGGTACTGTGTATGCATCGGTGGCTAAAGAGAGTTCAGAAATTTAAACCAGTGGAGTATTGTGATCACCCAAGGAACAGCTCAGGACTAAGACAAAGTTCTGTTTTAGTGAAATCAAAATTGGCTAGGCTCTACACTAGTAATATGGTAGTAAATACTATTTATCCCCAAAGTTTTAGAGAAATAAAAGAACAAAAGGTTTTCTAAATTGGTGTTAAATTAATGTTTACAAATTTTCTTCAAGCCAAATATAGAAAACGAGACCATTGACTTCAGGAATGTCTCAGTGCAGAAGCAGAGCACCAATCTGGCCCCATTTCCAAAGTAGGCAGTCCTTAAAGTCACCAATATCTTAAAGATATTGGTAGGACCACAGTTTGCAACTCTGTTGCTATGTTGTGTGAGGATGATGCTCTAATGATCTGAGGATTGCATGACCTTCCATATGAAATAAAATGATTACCCAGGCGAAGTGCTCACCAATCAAATGAATAACCCCTGAAGTCAAAGAATTGATTAGACCTCTGAATTTATGATTAAGACCTGCATTGGGAGAGTCCTAATTTTATTGAATCCCTTGCCCTCTTATGATATAAAATAATGGATTATATTTAGCATTGACATATTTTATTAATTGAATATAGGAATTCTCTTTGTTCCAAGAATCTCTTTCTTGATTCAGACTATATTTTCACAAGACTGAAATGTTACTCAATACCTTTCTTCTGGCTACTTCTTATTCATTTTTCAAATTTTAATTGAAATATATTTGCAGTGAGTATTTTCCTCTTCCCCAATTAAAATCAGATATTTCTGTTAGATGCTGACAGTACCCTGTACTATATCATAGTATGTCACAAATAAATTTAATTGTATGGTTACTTATTCACTATATAACATCTCTAACAGATTATTATCTTCAGGAGGTCAGTGTTTTCACTTTATGCCCAACAATTGGCACAGTGTTTGGCAAATGGTAGATACTCAATAAATATTTCTTGAGTCAATAAAACATAACATCCAAAAATTAAATGGCACATGGCTCACCAGTGATATGGATGTCATTATTTTTAGTAGATCTATTGGCAGTTGTGGGAACTTCTGGAAATTCTTTGGTTGTGCTGATGAAGTCATCATCTAGGGATAGAAAGGGGATTATCTGAACTGATCCTAATAGCCATCTCAGTATGATCAAATGGTGTAAAATCATGATTGGATTTCACTTTCTGTTAGAAAGAGCTCAATTTACATGGGTTAAATACTCCTAAAATTTTATGTGTAAAGTTTACTAAGGTCCAATTTACAGCAAGTCTAGGACCCTAGGATCTGTCTAATATGGCTACCAAATAGTGAAACTTCCTATTGGCTTAAAGAAATAAAAAAGGGGGGCGGGGGGAGAGAAGCTGTATAGCACACACAACAAACCAATATATGCTAAAGAATCTCCATGAGAAAATTAAGTAATTATAGGAAAATATCTTAAGTTGGGATCATGGAAAGATGAGATCTATTCCTGTTCTCTCACAATATCAGAGGTCTAGCCCAGTGGTCGGCAAACTCATTAGTCAACAGAGCCAAATATCAACAGTACAATGATTGAAATTTCTTTTGAAAGCCAAATTTTTTAAACTTAAACTATATAGGTAGGTACATTGTTATTAACTTAATTAGGGTACTCCTAAGGCTTAGGAAGAGACGCACTCAAGGGGCCAAAGAGCCGCATGTGGCTCGCGAGCTGCAGTTTGCCGACCATGGGTCTAGCCAATCAAAATACTGATTCTCCCCACTCTAATGTATTTGGAAAGGTCAATAAAAATTCCTTAGCAACGTTCAAGTAGACAAATCTATATTGACAAATCTTTCAATTTTCCAATGGAAAAATAAAACAAAATGCATTTTTAATGAATTTGATTGGTTAAAAAAAGCCACTATATAGATTTAATTTTGAAATAGGAGACAGAAAAATCTAATACTTGGTCTCTGATTATCTTCTTTCAGTGACTGGGCAGAATTTTGGTTCCATTCATTATCATTGTCAAGATGCACTTTTAAATATCTATCTGAGATTGGATTCTTACCAATCCTTGTTTTTTAATCTCTGTCAAGATAAAGCAGACCACTACCTCTCCTGACCGTGAATTTTCCCCACTACTTACCATGAAGTGTGGAGCCTGCACCTGAGGGGAATGAACTGTATGTTTCACTGGGCATCCGTGAAGCTGCTAATGGAAGAACATAATGGAAGAGTCAATCTGTAAAAGACTAGTTATTTTCTCTTCTTAATTTTAATTGAATCTAATGGTTATAAAAGAGGGATATTAAAATATATTTAGCCCTAACCGGGTTGGCTTGGTGGATAGAGCGTTGGCCTGCGGACTGAAGGATCCCAGGTTTGATTCTGGTCAAGGGCATGTACCTTGGTTGCGGGCACATCCCCAGTAGGGAGTGTGCAGGAGGCAGCTGATTGATGTTTCTCTCTCATCAATGTTTCTAACTCTCTATCCCTCTCCATTCCTCTCTGTAAAAAAATTAATAAAATACATATTTAAAAAAATATATTTAAAGCAACATCATTGAACTATTCTGCAGCACACATTAGAAAGTCCCAAATAAAGTGGGAGTTGAGGTAATGCTTGTGGAAGTTTTGTATTATAGACAAATAGGAGAAGGAAGAAGAAATGAAAGGAAAATACTAGGAGAGGTTCTTTCAGCCACAGAGAGGGTGTTGTGACTATTCTCATGGCCATCCATAGATGAGCTAAAAGAATCGGAGAAAATGAAAGCCCAGGTGAAAGTTATGGTGGCCTTCAGTCAAGGAGAGGTGCCAATAGGACTTTGAAGAACTCGGTAGAACACATGAGGGAACAAAATAGTTTGTATTTGTGGGTAAGCTGACATTTTTATTCAACTGTGAAAATTGAACTGTATCAACAGTGAATTATCAGAACCCTATTGTTACAAGCCTGTTAGCTGCTGGGTGTATACTTTTGATGTATTCGGTGGCAAACCTTCCCCTTGAGTGGATGGCAGCAAACTCAGCACATACGGCTTTTGAAATAGAGCCATTAACTCATTTTGTTTAGTTCCCCATATCTGGCAAGAAAAATCCACTTCTTGGCAAACTCCCCATAACTGTATTTGATAACAGGCCAATACTGTGATGTAGAGCAAAATAACTGTAGTGGTGCCTGCATAGTATGCTCATTTACTTAAAACATTAGCATACGTGATTTTACAAGTTAAGTGTTTTTAGTGTGTCCAAACCAAAACAATAAAAACCAAAACAAAATAAAACAAACATTAAAAGAAAACAAAAACCAGCCTCAGCCTTCCCCTTTCTTGGTTTTTCCCTGAATGCCAAGGGCATTTGCAGCTGCAGACAAAGGTGTGTTATTAGGTCCTTCAGAAGAGGCATTGGTCCCCGGACAATCTGTCACGAGAACTTCCATGGGGAGTCACCCCGCTGGGGAGGGTGGTTTTGTACACAGCTGTTTTGAGTTTAAGTAGGCCAGAGAGATGTTCTTATCTTCAATATAATTCTCTGACCCTGCACCTGTGATCTTAACTCTTTTTTTCCCCCTAGACTACCAAGGTATTCAGATGATGATGTATTGAGTACTTTTTAAATGTCCATTTTTAATGGATAGGTTATTAAGCCAGGAATTTGATTGACAAAGAGCAACAATTATAAAAAGAAATTGGGATGAGGCCTGGATTTAGGTACAATTATGATGAAGGCAGTTTGTTCAGTTTTTTGTTGTTTTTTCCCCCCAATATTGTGTCCCCCTTAGTTACTATTTTTAGGGCTTAATGTCTTTATATATTATCTCTTCAAATTCAGTTTTTAAGAAAGTATGTGATAAATTAATTTATGCTAAGGTTATAAATGGTTGACCAAGTGCTGTCCCTCTGAGAAAAACAGGTATTTTTTTTAAAGATTTTTCCATTTCATGATTATTATCAGCAGATCAACAGAGAACAGTTTGTAATGATTAGTTACATGTGGATACCAAGGTGTTTTTTTAAGCATAACACAATTTCAGAAGATGGTGATATCATTAGTATGATCCATCCAAATTATAATACTTAAAATCATGCAAATTATTTTACCATTTCATAAAGCTTCTTTTCAGACTTCTAGGTATTTTTCAAGTGTAAAAAGACATCTCAAAAAATGTGTGATAGAATTAAACTACAAAAACTATTTTGGAAGAGTAAGGAGCTCTCTAATTTTGGCTTTAAGATTTTATTTTAACTTTGTTTAAAAAATACAGTGGGGAGTGTATTGAGAAAGATGAAGAAAAAGGAGCTTCCAGGTGATGGATTCAGCATGTCTGAAAATACTTAAGTAATGTAAAAAAAAAACACAAAAAAAAACTTCAAGAGCTCTAGCTGGTTTGGCTCAGTGGATAGAACATCGACCTGCGAACTGAGGTGTTCCAGGCTCTGTTCCAGTCAAGGGTACATGCCCAGGTTGCAGGCTCCATCCCCAGTATGGGGCATGTAGGAAGCAGCCAATCAATGATTCTCTCTCTTCATTGATGTTTCTATCTCTCTTCCCCTCTCCCTTCCTCTCTGAAATTAATAAAAATATATTTTAATAAAACCTTCAAGAGAAAGAATATATTATAAATAAAAGTCAGCAAGATCAAGAGATGAACAATTTTTGCAATAAATGTGCCCACAGGAGGAGGCCTTCCTGAAGAATGCTTGTTTACAGCATCCTTAGTAAGATGAATTGGTTATGTACAATGAGTTATCTTTCACTAAATGCAATACTTTTCTAAAAGTTCCTACACTATCATTTAGCTATAATATTTTTAGAATATGTTTTACATTGACTACCCATCTGCCATTTTTAAGTCTCAAGAGTCTCAGCAGAATTGTGTTGCTATTGTCTTTTAATTGATTGAAATATTCTGTGTTCTTCAAGGCATGTTTAATACAAGAGTTAAATATCTTTCAAACCTCAGAGTATCCATTTTTCATCAAAATCCACAAATGAACATGACTTTGGCATTTAGACAATAAACACCAGCTTGATGGATAACCTCCTGTAGCACATCACCATTATCAGCTAAAACATGAACACGGATCTATACTAATGGAGTTTCTCAAATATATTTTTTACCCTTTTTTTTTTTAACATAACCTTGGTTTCTTCCACAATTTCTTCAAATTTTACTTTTGGTAAAGGTTCAACAAGGAAACTATGTGATACCATTCTACCATAAAAATGTACTTCTCTTCTATGGTAAAAACAGGATCAACTTCAGTAGCATAGTATTTTTCATTTACTTGCAATAACTTTTCTGTACATATGTCTGTAACTAGTTTATAGTTATCAATAATATTATGACATGGCAGGCATCTTTTCCCTTGTAGAGAAATCTACTTAGTGTCATATCAAAGTCTGTGGTGACCTGAAGTTTGGCAGCTCATCTTTTGGTGAAACCAGTGATAATTTCTGTTACTTTTGTAGGATTCTTGTGGCAAACTGAACTTTCAAATTCTGGAATCATTTTACATGTCCAGACTTTTGTTTGTTTGTTTGTTATGCAGGCTTCCTTAAGGCACTCTGAGTTCTTCTGTTATTAATTTTGTCCTAAAACAATGGCATAGGTGGTAAACAATAACTCAAGATGCAGGGCTTATATACAGAGATCTCTATGATCTTGGTCTTCAGCCTCATCTTCCTCCTCAGGCTGAGTATGTACTCGGCCAGCACTACCTCTTCCACTAGAACAGTGGTTCTCAACCTTCCTAATGCCGCGACCCTTTAATACAGTTCCCCATGTTGTGGTGACCCCCAACCATAAAATTGTTTTCATTGCTACTTCAGAACTGTAATTTTGCTACTGTTAAGAATCGTAATGTAAATATCTGATATGCAGGATGTATTTTCATTGTTACAAATTGAACATAATTAAAGCATAGTGATTAATCACAAAAACAATATGTCATTATATATGTGTTTTCCGATGGTCTTAGGCGACCCCTGTGAAAGGGTCATTCAACCCCAAAAGGGGTTGCGACCCAAAGGTTGAGAACCACTGCACTAGAACATAAATGCTGGAACAAGTTACAGTGTGTACTCTTGCCATGATCACCTAGTCCAAAGATGGGACCCTCATACTCTTCCTGGCCACAAAAAGAAGATGACATGCATGAGCTTTCAAAGTGTGAGGTTTGTGTTCTCGCTGTGCAGAAGTCCCCAGAAACTGGTAGTTTAACAAAAAATATAATTTTAAATCAGAGAAATGCATCTGTAATTTGCAACTGACCTAATTAGAAACTATATGAAAGAAAGGGAGAACAACATTTCAGAGGATAGGAAAATGGATTGAGATGTGATCAGAGACATAAAAGATTTTAGAATTTGAGAACAAGAGTGGTGAATTTAGAGAATCAGCATCCAAGGCAACAGGGAACAGAGGGACTGAAAATTATCCTAGAGACTGAAATAGGAATTAGACCCAGTGCTGCCATAGGCTCTCTCATTCCTATGTCCCTACCACAGGTCCTCAACCCCTCAACTCTAGTCTCTCCATCACCTTCTGTCAATGGAAAGTAGAAAGGGTTGTTAAGAAAATTTTAGGCACACCTATCAAAAGCCCAAGAAAAACCAGATAGAACCATGGGCAGGATAAGCAATGCATCTTCAAGATTTAGGAAGAATATATAAAATTTGAAGGATAAGGAATGCATGCTTAAAGAGCAAAATAAAGAGCCGATGTGATGTCAGGAAGAGGTACTCTGAGGCCCAGAGGGGTGTGTGTGTGTGTGTGTGTGTGTGTGTGTGTGTGTGTAGTGAGCTTGTTGATTTTTGGTAATGGAGCAAGTTGGAGGCATTAAGGGTCCATGGAGATTCATATCATTTTTCTGCTTGTCTAACTTTGAGAGACTGAATTAAATGTGACTTTCATCTCCAGTGGACCAGATGAATGACAGGGAAAACCAAAAATAAAAAAGTAATTAAACAAATTTTCTGCTCCATGGTTTGATCACCTGAGTGTCAGGAAGAAAATATGTTCTCAGATGCTACTAACCTTATAAATTTGGGGCATTTAGTTGGTCAGATTGGTATCCCCATTTCATAGGTGCTTAAAGTAACATAAGCATCTGTTTCAGATTGAGGAAACTTGGAAGCTGAACTAAGGTTAGCTTCAATATTCTTGAATCCCAGCTTAGACTTCTTCAAGTTGATAAACAAGATGACAACAAAATAATACATTAAACCATATATTTATAAATTTAGTCTAAGTGCAATGAACTCAGAACCATGACATTCAAATAAATATGAGCTACATAAAATACATGTATATAAACAAATATCCCATATCACATGTTCACAATTATCAAGGGCCTTAAAAACACTGCTGTGGGATTATT